TTGATAAGGCCTAATATGATGATGGAAAGTTATGAACTTGTATAACACAAGGAAAAAAAACAAGCACTGATCATACCACTTTTATTTACATTGTTACCTGTTACATTATTCAGTATAGAAAAAATATGAATACATTCATAGTATTCTAATTTGGTAATTCCACATTGTCAAATATTGACTGTTTTTATATTGGGTTTTCTACCCAATTTAAAGAAAGGAGGAATGGGTGTGGCCTTGTGTTTTGCTATCAATATAATAGTGATCACTCCTCTCTCTTCTTTTAAAAGAACATAATTTTAAAGACTCGATTAAAATGCTTACTGGCTTGAAGTGTTTTAAAGATAGATAATAATGCATTCTTCCCCCAAGGGGAAAATAATTAAGGTAAATATCTTAAAATACTTTAGTGATCCATGAAATAATTTATGTTCTCTATTGAAGGGGTCAGTGCTAAAAGAAATCAAGTGGTCGACCCCACCATGTAATAGTTCTACATTGTTTTCTTTTCTTTTAAGGAGACCATGTTAACATAATTATACAGGAGAAAAGAAAAATTCACACTTAAGAGATAGCAGGCTTTTAAAAGTACACGCTGCAAATAGAATTGATGATTATCTCTTTGGGACCTAATACTCTCATTATTCAGTGGTTCAAACTCACAAATCAATGCTACAAAATACAGTATTTTCTATCACCTTTAGTTATAATGTACACAATGTACAGAAAAGCAAGAGTTATCCTATCTTCAACTAAATACAAATGAACAAACAGCTTGTTAAAAACCAGAATCAGGACTTATAAATAGTGCAGAAAATGCGAACGCCAAAAAAACGATGCCTCCTATGATTGTCACTGAAAGAGAAGAGAAGAAAAGAAAGTTAAATAAAGCAGAGTGTACTGCTTGATGCTTACAAATATCAGGGAGCCTAGAGTCCTTGTTCTAGCCAACTAAGCAGGAAAATATGGAAGTTCTTCAACCTGGCTTACACACCAAACGACACACCCCATCCCTGAAGTGCTGCGCGAAGAAGTGGTTGCTTGTCCAGTGCTGACAAGCAACACAAAAGAACTATAATTCAGCTTAAATGTCATTATCAAAAGGACTGTTGGAGAATTTGACCCTCAGAAATAGTCGGTGGCACATCCAGGGTTGCAGACCACAGTCGGTGACACTGCCAGAGGGTGACACCAAAACGAAAGGTGCTTATGAAAGGTCTGTGCAGCGTTTCCAGACAAAACTACTTCTAACACAGATTCCTGAAACAGTTTTCCTAAGCCCAGCTTACATATATCAATGGACTTCTCTAAACTATCCCAGTGAGTTTCCAAGGCTATAAAACCAGTAACTAATAATGTAACTACAATGCTGTATAATGTAATTCACTGTAGGAAGATTTTACAAAACTATTTTGTATTCCTTTACTAAACACTAAGAATATTTATTTAACTTATAGGTGAGTTATAAAATTCTGTAAGAAGCCTTGTGGTAAAAACCCATGGAGCTAGTAGTGATGTGCTGCTGTAGGGTCGCCATGTGCTAGCATCCACTCACTGGCCGTGCGTGGTGTCACAGCTACTTGGGAAACTCAGCAGAATCTGTGACCATGGCCTCTGTCTCCCCAGCTCTCTTTACGGCCAAATGCTTCTCTACCACAGAGTGCTGTATTTTTAGCACCACTGACTGAGAAAATGTTGGCCACAAAAAGCTCCTATAAATTCAATAATGTGTATTTACTAATATCTACACGAGGTAAACAGTTTGTATGTGCAGACGAGGAATTGTAGGACCTCAGCATCTCTCTAACAGATTCTAATTACGAAGGCTGGGTATATTTTAATAATTAGGAAAAACAAAACCAACAGCTAATTCCCTTTTTGTAATCCCTCAGTGATTCTAAAAAGCTGAAACTGTGTGTGTGCTTTAATGAGAAGAAGGCTGACTTACCAGTTCTGACAGAGATTTTCTGAGCTATCATTCTTCCGCCAATGACCGCCAGGCCCGTGCATAAGCTGTGGCCCACTGTGCCCCCCACTGCAACACCATAGGGGTCCTGCAATCACACGTGACGAGGGTTAATTCCAAACCAAGGTGGAAACTGCTACTTGCAAAGGAAAACTCAAGAAACATTTCAAATGGAAGTTGACGACAAAACAGCAATTCTTAAATTAAGATGTTTATGAAAAGTAATTACACTTCAAAGAAAATTTTATTAAGTGGTTTAATATGTCAGTTATACATATTATCATTAGGACTACACCTAAAAGGAGTAAAAGATTCCAACTTAGTTGATTT